AAACACCGTCACCTGATCTCATTACTCAAATGTTCCCGAAGCTCGGATGATCACCTGTGTACCTGTTTTATACCTTAACATCCACGGACGGATGCTTACCCAAGAGAGGAGCTTCCCCCCAAATAAGACGTCGTGTTGGCCAAAATAAACTCTGGAGCGTCTGGTAACTTCATTTCTCCGACCGCAGGAAGTGAGAAGGTTTTGAGACAGCAGCTAATCACTCCTTCCAGGGAAGACTGGATTTGCACATTTCAACATTCCCGGGTATTGAAGTTCATATTGTTCAGCTGCCATTTGAATTCGCCAATCTCTGAAGATGCCCGCGGCACAAAAACGGCAAAAATAGCAAAAAAAACAGCAAACTGTCAGTGACATTCAGTTGTAAGTTAAAATGTAATGCCGGTGTTCGCTCTGTCAGAGGGAGGGTTTCAAATTGCTAGATATTTCATCGAATGAGACTGCAATTATTCCATTTTCCGAGTGCATCAATCCACACAACAGTGTCATTATTGCTCACTTACAGAGTACCGCGCCGTCCCGAACAAGAAAAAAAGAATTCACTTATTGTGTGCGCCGTTGAAAACGATGTGAAGCTGAAATAGTCTCCCACACGTCTGCTGTAATGTACCTCACTCTCTTTTTTAAGCGGATGCTCTTATTCAGGTGCAAGAGTAGTGTAAGCTTAAACCAGCGCATTGCAAACATCACAAAAGCATCAAAGCCAGTCGGTGTCCAGATGGCATTGTTAGTGACGTGTGTGTGTGTGCGTGCGTGTGTGTGTGTGTGTGTTACCCTCGAGTGATCCTCCAGAAGTGATGGCGGCAGGAAGGCTCCATCAAAGGACTGATGTGTCAGAGATGCCTGATATGTAGCCTCTTGACTTTTCTTTTCTTTTCTGTTTTGAGGTGATTCATCCACCCGTCTGCCATCATGACCAGCAGCTCAGCCCGTCTGCAGTTTAGAACGAGCCCCTTGTCGTCACTCTTAAGTGGCCACACGATCGACAGGTAATAATGAAACCCTGATTAACCGCTACGCAATCGATAGCACACGAACACAAAGTCCGGCCTCGTGATATCCCAGCAGTGACGGTGTCGGATGATGGATGGGGACGGGTGCAGCTAGGATGTGGGACAAAAAACAAGCTAAATCTTTAATTGAGTTATGAACAGACCAATCATAACTAAGCAAATGGTTTTGTTTTTGCACTCCTGACAGCTACATTTATTTACTTCCAGGAGAAACAACCTTGAATCTAAAAGCTCAGGAGTTTTTCTTGGAGGGAGGGGTTGAAACTGACTACTTCCTGGTTTCCCAAACTGTATTTGTAATGCGACTTTTGTGACTGTTATATGCAGATTGGAGCTCAGCGGTGTCCATATATATATATATATGTGTGTGTGTGTGTGTGTGTGTCCACCTCAACTCGCCCTGCCTGATCTGATAGTGACTGGATATATTTTGAGGTCAGAGGAGCGTCTGTAAAACGATAAACACGCTTCATTTCCCATAAATCCTTCTACAATAAAAGTCCCATGTGTTCTTGCTGCTACATAACTCTTCCTCCCTGCAGTATTAGTCGACTTGTTTCATTCACTGTTTTCCTGTTATTCTCCACAGTAAACATTCCCTGTATTCTGTTGTTTTAAAAGCAGCAAAATCATGAAATGTTTGTTTTTTTATCAACGGTAACTTAACACGACTCAGCTGGTCTCCAGCCTCCCCTCCTCGGGAGGAGGAACTCCCGCGTCAGGGGGAAGGTGACGGACATCTACGTTCTATGAATTGTTCGGGTTGCGTCCACATGCCGTCCTCACCTCACTGACATCCTAACTCATTGAGCCAGGCCACCTCAGGCACGTGATCCCGGCTGATCGGATCCCAACGCGAGCAAGATCCGATCTCAGAGAAAATGTAGATCTGTCACTTAATGCGACCGGATGACAAAAGTGGCTTTGAACAGACAAATAGAACCACGAGCAGCGTAGCAGCTCAGTGGACCTCTGCAATAACTGGATCACATAGCAGCTGTTTGTGTTGGTGCGAGTGTGTCTTTAAAAGTCGCTGCAGCTTTTCCAGACTCTTTTATGGATGTGTGTCTTTTTTTATTTTTTATATCTAGCTCTCAATCAGCCAGACTGCTGGCTAATCGATACTGGTAGAGGGCATTAAAACTCACTCCGTGTGTGTGTGTGTGTGTGTGTGTGTGTGTGTGTGTGTTTGTGTAAATCCCTGGAAAAGGAATCTTCTCCTCCCTAATTCCTGCTCCTTATCTCTCCTCCCAGACACCCATCAGTGTCACATGTTTGAAGATATATGAGCCTGATAGTTAACGACTTTTAACAGCATTTCCCGACTTAACTCTCTTGAGAGAGGCTTATCGGGGCTGTGCTGCACCCTCCACTGACTTTATGTGCTAATTCTCACTGCTGCACTTTGCATTTTCTGCTTTTTTTCCACTGTTCTCTTCATGTTTTGCAGATGTCCGACATTTTTATGTAGGTTGACCTAATAACGTGCGACATTAAACGGAGCTTGGACTTTTAACTGCGTTATAAAGAGCCAATATGTGAAGGCTTTCATTGGAAGACGGCTGATATCCTGCTCCTTGATGATGGAGCCATTCATCTGCCATCACAGCTATGCGCGTGCAAATCATGTTCTTCTTCTTCTTCTGTAGCCACGCGATCAATGCATGATTATAAATTAATATATTTTAATCACATCAACTGCCAGATTCCAGTTGTGCTCCAGAGTTGGAACAAGTATATCCACACAAGCGATGAGGCACAAATGCCGAGAGGAGCAATCGTGACCTGATTGACCCACTTTGTGGAGCGTCACACACACACACACACACACACACACACA